TCAATAGATGCAAGACTGCAGACTCAAAGCAGCTGGGTCAAGAGTGGCATCAGCTTCCACCATGCAATTTTGTTTCAGCTCTGGTTTGTATTAAAGGTAAGGGCTCACACACCACTTGAAAAACAGCTACTCTGCCGCCTCCAGTTCAGCTGGGAGACATGCTGAATGTTTTCCCCTTCCACAAAACATGTATGCATCTACTCTGTTTCGTGAGCATGTGCAAGCCACAAGATTTCTCAGCGACATATTGATAGTTCCTGCAGGGAAGGTACAGGCTCTTCAGAGACAGGTACCTGTTTTGAGGGAGCAGCTGCTCCCTTCCTGGATTTTTAAAGCACAGTTCAGCAAACATCCATCCAAATGCAGATGGGGAACATGGGTACAGGCAATGCTCTAACAGACTTTCCCCCTTACAGGGTTGCTATTTCTGAGTACTAAGCTCCTCTTGATTAGATGGACAGAGACTAATCAACCAGCTCGCAAACATCTGCAAAAGCTGTACCTTGATTCCAAAGCCATACAGTGACCTCCCTGCTAGCTTCCCAGCCAGCTGGCTCAAAGGGAAGCCCATGCCAGGAAGGGCAGAAAAACGGACTGAAGCTCTCAGTACTTCAAACAGCCTGACACATGGCAAACTCTCATGGCCTCGCCCCTCATCTTTCTACTGCAAGGATGAGCAAAGAGGGAGGAGAAAGACCCACTCTTAGACATTTATAGCCTCAGAAAACCAAGACTATACTGGAACCTAACATTCGGCCTATGTGTAAGATCACTAATTAACACGTGTTTGAAGCCATTCATTTTCTTGAGCTGTCTAGACTAGCAAAGCTCTAGGGTGGGGAAAGAGTATTCACCGGAGAGGAAGGGAGTATGTTCAGCACCGTAGCTACAGAAAAGGAGGGTTTTCTCCAGCAACATCATTTTCCTATATAGTTTGAGCCATCCAGAAGGTAACAAACTGTGGATGACAGGTACCATCAGCGTCCCTATCCATAGGGACAAACCAAAGCCTCAGCTCACAAAATTATCAGCCTTTCAACTTGGAAGTTGCCTACTGTTGCCCTCCCTCACCTTTCTTCCCCTTTGTCACTGCTTTCAAAAGTCTTGCCAGCATTCCTACCCAATCCCTCTTACTTTCCCAGGCTTGACCTTTCTTGCATCTACTCTGTTCCCTGCTCTTTACCCATACGTACCACCATAAAGCATTCCCCTTGCGTAGCAGCCCTTTCTACCAGGAGCAGCAGAGCAGTCAGTGAGCTGAGACTTGGCATCGCAATCATTGGGACTCCCATTTAGTTTCTACCTGCCTCACCCCCCTCCACCCCCCCAAACTCCTGAAACCATGCCAAAGGGAACGCTCATTTTGGCAGTCAAGTCTCCCAGAAGACAAATTACAGCCAAAGTGTTGGGAGTGGGACCAAGCCAGCCTATTAATAGGTTGATTATAATATGAATTTGGGGAACTACTCCCAAATATGCTCACCCTGCTGGACCTAGGGCCCTCGGGGGTGGAACAGAATACCTAACTCAGCACTTGGAGCTTCTCTGCTGTGTTTGGAGTCAGGAAGGGTGGAAAATCCTGTCTGTACCCTGCCTGGCAAAAACATGGTTTTCCAGAAGGGTGGTTGAGCTATTGTTTTCTTCCCTTCTCCCCCAGAAAGCCTGTTTGTCTCATACTTGCAGAGCAGCTCCCCCCTGCCTCATCAGAAAAGACCTAGAATTTGAAAGCTTCCACCATCGATTAAATGGTTGGTAACAACTTTCCTGTGGAAAGTCCAGAGCTACTCCGAGAAGCAACACTGAACAAGATGTCTCAAGAGCCTTCTCACCACCAGCTTCTCCAGAACACACTGGACTGTTGAAGAAGACTGACTCCACAGACAGCCAGGTAGCAAAACTTTCAGGATATTTGAGAGCACTTAGAGGACAAAAAGCTGGACTGAGGCAGTAAGGCTTAGATTTCAGGAGGCAGTCAGATTCTTATACCCGTTAAAGCATGTTTCCACCTTCCAGGAGGCAGCCCACAACCTATCTAAGACCCCTTTAAAAGTGCTGGGGTGAGGCAAATGTGCACAGTGAGAAATGAAGAGTCCAGAAGCAGCAACGAGTAGTATATGCATACTCCATCATAGCTTATAACCACCTCTCCAGCACACCCACAAGGCTGCTTCTCCAGTCTTCCTGAACAATGCAAACGGTCTTTGCACGCCTCCACATTTTCCCATCAACAGACCTCCCATTCCAGCCCCATACCTCGGTCAGAGAGCCAGCCAGAGGGCAGAAGGCAGCCCCTTGTGACCCTGACTGACATTTCACTGACAAGCAAGACAAGACCTTTCTGAAAACTTTGAAAAATTATGCTGCAAAGATGTTCAGAAGCTCCCAAACTTCTCATGTTTTACATAAACATCTTACAATCATAAGCCTTCAGAAGCTGAAGGAGATCCCAAATACATTCACTTCTTACAGTATTTGCCACACTGGGGCCACACTCTGCATCAGGACCAGCAGCTCTTACCATTTATGCATAAGTAATAAAAACTCTCCCTGTCTCTTGTAGTGAGACAGGGAGAGAGAATGAACTCTCCCTTAGCTGGGAGACACGTGGCCACTGATCAAACCTACACAGTTCTACCTTTACATTAGTAAAGATGAAAGGACACACAGGCTTCAAAACATGTGTCAATACACATTATACTCATCTGTCAGAAAATAAGGAAAAAAGTAACCCCAGTTTACCATTACTAGACATGCTTGACAAGACTCTCCTGTAACACAAGACACTGAAGCATCTACATGCTGAATGGTTTGGATTCAACATGCCAAGCAGAATTGCAATCAGATTGCCAACAAATGACAAGTTATTAATTTTCATACATCTCAGATTTCACCCTAGGTTTTACAACTCTTTGCTCCCCTTGCATCACGCAAGGCATTTCAAAGTCTTGCTGCAAAGAGATTATTGGAGAGCACACTGTTTCTAACACATGTGTTATTAAACACTTAGGCCTTGCTTCTTGAGCAAATGCTTTGCCTCCGATGGCAAGCTTACATGGTTAAAGCCAGGCATGCAGACTTTGGCAGGCATAGGATCTTAATTCCTCTGAACACAAACCCACAATCTACCATCAAGCAATCAGCAAGCTCTCTCAAACCACCTGCACACTGTGTATGTATATAGGTATATACATACATGTACTGAACTTTCTGTGCAGAATTCCCTTATGGGAGAACTGCCCCGGCACAGCTTCAGGCACAAAGCTGGAGCACAGGGGAACTCTTTGGTAGTCATTTCTCCATCCCCCTAGTTTTGCCTCAAAAGCTGTGCTGGATCTGTCACCACAGAGGAATTTTTAAGGTTAAAAAAAAAAAAAAATGGTTTCACAAGAAAACAGAGATTAGTTAATTTTTTAAAACCCTGAAAGTGGTATTTCATTAAGTCAACGGGAGCACTTCCATTACAGAAGGGGGGCTCTCCTTCACATTTTACAGAGAAGGAAAATACAACAGAGTCCAGACCTAGTGCACCCAAAAGGCCTTTAGTTCTTCTGCTAAGCCAGAGACATCCAGGAGTCAACGCCCAGACTTGAGCTTCAACCACTAAATCTGCTTCAAAGCAATTCCACTGCTAAGCTAATGGCTGCAGGAGACTGCTCCTACATCCACTTAAACCAGCAGACACTAATCTCTCCATCTGCAATAGATATGCATGCCATAGGGGTCTGGACAGGATAAGCAGAACAGATGTTTAAGTGCACATACAGTGCAGGGAATCATCTTCAGAGCTCAGCTGCTAGCTTCACAGGGCACAGGAACTAAGAGATTTCTAGAGAGCCTCACAGGACACAGGAACTAAGGATGCAGAGACACCTGCCCTTTCTTGTACTTTTGCTGAGGGAAGTAACCCCAGCAGGGAGGTGAAAGCAGGCATGCATATGCCATACCTACGGATATTGCACAGCTCCCAAACACTCCCAGATATGTAAGACGTAGCAAACTAATCCATACCTATGACAAAAAGAGCATTATGCTAGAAAACCAAACCAGGAGCAGCAGAGCACTGCCAGAAGAAGCACCTACATGTGCCCCAGTACTCATTAAAAATATTATTCCTGAACACCTGAACCACTGGGAGATTTTGGCTGCACCAAGGCAACTGCTTCAGCAGGACTAAATGTTATTTCCCTCAAGCCAACACAAAACTGCCGATCTCAGAATCAAGGAACAAGTCCCCTGTACCTGTAAGCAGCCTTCAGATCCCACAGTGTAGCTATCTGGCTAAGCCCTTCAAATTCGCCCGTCTGCCACAGTAATGGGCCTCCCAAGCACAAACACCTGAACACAAGCATTTCGACTGGCCACAAAGGGCCAGGATCCAAGCGACCAGTGCCCGATCTGACCCAGGGGATGTTTATTCAGGTTCCTTGCACAACTCTTCACTGCACAGGGCAATGAGGACAAATGGGTGTTTTCAACAGCGCATTAGGTTGCTGAATGCTTTCTCACACAGGGCCACTTACTTCTTCTTCCTTCAGCCCCTGCCACGTGGCCTGGCCTGCTGTCAGGAGGCTCTGAGGAGCAATGCTCTGCACAGCCTGAAGGGCTGCTCTCGAAGTGGCATCTGTCCCATACAGAAAGCACAAGCCAGCCCCGAATACACAAGGAGGCCTCTCCTCTTCCCTCCAGTACGGAGACTGGGCAAGAAGCCCAGAGAACGATCTTAAACAAAGACCTCATCAGGCTTAGCCCAATGACCAGCCTAAACTTGTGCCATCAGCTCCTTTTATTTACAGAAACGCAGAGTACTCTGAAGCAGGGACAACCTCTCCCATACTCACAGAGGGGAAGAGAGGTTCAGCTTGGTAACTCTGGCGAGACTCTAAGACTCCTCTGGGGGAAGATTCAGAAGCCAGGGATATCACACGTACGAAAGCAGCGGACAGGGGATGCTTCATGCTACAGCTTAGCTACACCGCTGGACTTCAAGGGCTTGTACCTACCTCAAGTGCCCCAAGCTGTAGTATCGTGACTCTCCGTCCGTCGACCGAACTACTTTGACAGTGAACACGGGCTGCAGCTGCCGTAGCTCCAGCAGCACAATGGCCAGGTAGTGAATGAAGAGCAGAGCATCCACCAGAGACACGGCGTACTGCACTATTCCTTGGTAGTTGGTGTCCTTCGAGTCCAAGATGCGAACGCCGTAAAAGAGCCAGTAGGAAAACACAAACAGGAATATGAGGACCAACAGAAGGGCCCGAAACACAAACACCCTTGGTATGTCTGCCTTGGGCTGACGGAAAAACAGAGCCCAGGTCCCAATCAGAAGAATGAGGAGTTTAAATGCCACAGAGATGAACAGCCCCTCACAGACAGTACCACACGGCTCCAGATCATCCCGCCACAGGATCTGGGGTAACAGAATGAAGGCAATGGGGGTAAGGAAGACAAGGAGTCCAAGAACAGCTGCCACTGTTAAGCCCAGGTAACGTTTGCAGTCCAACCCAACGCTGTCCTCCAGATCCTTACTGATCCGAGCAATGTCCTCCTGGGAAATACTGTGCTCAGAGGTGCCTGTGATTGCTGTCGTGGTCTCACCCCAGTTGTCATCCTGAAGGCAGAAGAGATAAACAAAAAGAATATTGAAACAATCAGGTTATGCCTTCCGGGTCTTCTGTTCTCCTTTCCCGGAAAACGCTTTCTACAACAGACTTAAGTCCCAGAAAAAAAATACAGCAAAAGTAACACCTTCAAATAAATTGAATAATCAACCCTGCAAATTAGCAAAGGTTTGAAAACAGCAGCAACTTGTCCAAACCAGTGACTACAAACATTAGGTGTTAAAAACCTGTTACTGTAGAGCAGGTAGCTCATCTTGCTATACCACTCACTGTACCCCAGAGGTTTCTCTTCCAGCACACTCTTGGAAACTACAATAATCATCAGTTCCCATGTGCAGGGCAAGGACTAGCACTCTTCCAGCCCACAAATTCTGCAGTGCAAGTGCACCACAGAAGCACCTGGAAGGGAAATTTTCATTTCAGTATTTCAATCCAGTAGTTGTTGTTACACAATCAAAAACATGTTCACACATTATTTTTCCATGCGTAACAGAAGCAACCGCACTTCCAGCAGGTTTCTCCACTTTGTTTTCTTTTATTCTCCTTGACAGTAGAGCTGCCCTCAATAGATGACATTCTAATGAAAGTTCTAACCACAAGTCACAGGTGGTCACAGAGGATACTTTCAGGTATAAGGCTTTAAGTTTAGAGGATCCTAGACTCCCAAGTAGCTCTGGAATTAGAGTCTAGGACATTGTCAGAAGCCACTCAGCCACAAAGAAGCCTACCTGAAATACAGTCGCCATATAGCCAAGCTTCAGCTTACGTTTCCTGAAAGTCTCATTTCTTCCCTAGCTAGTATCAGAGGACTTCTGCAAGCCAGTTCTCCAATCCCACGATGCCTCCAATTGCTCCTTCCCGGTGCTGGCACAGCCAGAGAGTTACACTAACATGTATGGATTTGACTCACAGCTGCTGCTGGAGTGACTCATGCACATCAAGACTCCTGACGCTTCCCACAAATATACACTGCCAAACAGTGGCAACGCAGGCGCTTTGTTGCTTGGCACCTGACACCTTTGCAGCTACAATGCTCATTCAGAAGTGCACATTTTGCTCTTCCTCCTACCCTCCTGATTGTGTCTCTTCCTGCAGCCTGTGTCATCAATAGGATTTATACCTTCCCCCAGACTCCTGCAGCTACACGTGCTGATCAAAGCATTTTGTTTTTAAGAAACAGACATTATTTACTGCTTCAAAAGAGATAAAGAGTCTTCAAGAATCTTTAGGAAAGGAGTAGACAGAAGCAGCACGACTACTTCGAACAACTTTGGGGACTTAACTTCTAACGCACTCCAATACATGAATACCTCCCATGCCTAGAGCAGTAGGGCTTTGAGGCAGGCCAACCGTAAACAGTCAGCATCTTGAATTAATATGAGGGTTTGAGTCACTTCTCACCAAAACAGAGGCCCCAGAAGAGGTATCCGCAGTGTAGTATGTCCTGAAAGGCAGCATAATCCTATCACATTTCCCTCTTTGCCAGTGTCTCCAGTAAAGCAATCTAAGCATTTCAACTATTTTATGTTTATGCATGAAATAGCTCTGTTTCCTCCATTTGATGAGCTGAGAAACTGTGAAGAAGACAGAAGGGACAGAAACACCACAGCATCTTAAGGCTACAGCCCAGAAGACAACAGGCAACCCTAGTCTCAGTCTGCCTCTTGTAACAGCTCTTCCCACTTTAAGTGGCATGAACAAAAAAATGCGCAGTTATATGGAAATATAAGTCTCAATCTCTAGTGGTGCAAAGTTGTTGGACCCAACTCAGGGCAATCTGCTCCCTAGGAGAAAAGTCTTGCTCATTCATCAACTTATTTTGCTTTGGCTTTAATTCACATTGCGGAGGTTTGCATGCAAACACAGGCTTAAGAGCTCACCAGGACCTTTAGATCTATTTGAAGTAATAGGTGGGACTCATGAAAAGAAGCATCTGATTACAAAATACCAAACAGCAGTACATGAAGTCAGCCCACCAGCCGCTTCATCAGTACTGTTACCAGTATTACCATACAGAGTTTGGGTGCAAACTGGGTATCAATTTTTTTTTTTTTTTTTTTTTTTGAAAGGGCAGATGTGGAGCCTCACAGCCAAGGACTAACACACCCCAAATCCAGCCCAGGAGGCACTGAGACATCCTGCATTCTATGTCTTGCAGCATCAGCCATTCTTTAAAAATTAATATGCACCTTCATATCAACTGCTAAAGCAGAGAGTGTACTGGATCCATCCTAGGTGCAATCTAAACTCAGCATTATTCCATTCTTGATTTAACCCCAGTGTTAATGCACTAGCTTGCACTGAGTTCACCTTCCCTCTCAGTTATTTCACGTTAGTTTTACATTTCTTGTTGCCTTTCCCTACTGGGATCCTGGTTCTAATATGCTTTACATGATTACCTAGAGCAAATCCTGCTTAAAAACAGAAGTGCACATACAGGTGAAACCACTGACCTGAATAATGCACAGTCAGATGATGGAAACAGATGTTTCTACAGAGCTTGGCAGGTGACGCTCTGGAGACAGAGGCGAATTAGTGCCCCAGGAGCGTCCCCATCAGCCCTGGTGCTGTCAAAAATAATGCTTTTAGAAAAAGACAGAACTGATCGAGACCTTGCCTGAATAGTCAAAAATAATGCTTTTAGAAAAACACAGAACTGATCGAGACCTTGCCTTTATGCCTGAATAACGGGTACCCATAAGTCTTGATTACTAACAGCATGTGAGCGACCCTTTTTTCCTACTCACGTGCCGGCGCGTTATACGCGCTGTTCCAGAAACCACAGTCCATGCTTTTGCTTTCGCTCTGTCCTTACCTGGCCCTCCTCTGCCCGAGAGGCATCGTTCCCAAGCAGCGGCTCCGCAGGAGGTGTCTGGATGGTGACGGACTTCTCAGACCGGCTGCCATCTTTGCTTCGCGGCGATTTGTGCCTGTCCCGACTCCTTTTCCAAACAGAGCAAGAGGAGAACAACGTTACCAGGTAGTTTCTGGAGCAGGGCCTGGAATCTGCCACACCTCTACCTGCGGCGAGTGCCCCAAGCATTAGATCGCAGTCATGCTCTCCCATCTCTTGATCAGTATTGACCCAATCTTTGACAAAACGAGCTTCGGAAGAGGTAGACAGGGACCTTGCCCAGAGCAGCCTACAGCCTGGTGGCTGGGACAGTCTACCCTCTCAGTGATTGGAGAGGGGGGCAAAAGGGACAAGGGTACATCCCCACCACCTCCTCTTTTCTAAAAACAGCTTCTGCCAGTGCTGCACTTTAAAGGGAAGCTTGCATTTTCAAAACGACTGGCAACTCCATTTGGTATTCACTGGTCCACGCAGCTCTCCATCTGGAATAAAGTGTCTCACGGGGACACATACAGTTAACAGAAGGAATTAATCAAGACAGCTTTAGTTCCTGCAACAGAGAGTCTTGTCAACTAGGACCACAACGCTGTAGGACAATTGGTGAAGTTTATTTCCACAAGTTAGTAACCCCTCACTTAGCCTCTTACAAAGAGAGCAAGAACATCAAGGGTTCCAGGCTAGTGCTCACTTCCAGAGTACCCCTGCGGACCTCACGGCTTCTCAACATCTCAAGACGTTATCTCAAGAATGTCTCAAGATGATTTATGCCCCACCAGTATTTTCCTCCCCCTTCCTACCCAGGCAGGAAAGCAGCCTTTGCACAGGGGCTGACTTAAAGCTCAGGAGCATCCAGCATCCCAGCTCTGCTCTCGCCACTGCATCTCTCTTGGAATTACCAAAGCCCAAAGGTTTCATGGAAGGAGACTTTTTTCCTGTCCAGAGTAAGAGGCTCCACGATTTTTATGTTGCTTTGGGAACTCTGAAGGCATCTTTCCATGTGGCATTCTGAGCTTCAAAGGGCAATCCATATTGGGGCTTGGGGTGTTAAAGAAGGGAAAGAAAGGGCAAACAAGAGATGTTTTACTCAATAACTGGACTGAGAGCAAAGAGCCTGCATTTCATGGAAGAATTCTTTTTCCAACCACACAGGATAATTGCTTCTGAAATGCAAAGTTATTTTGGACCAGCTCAGTTCTCAGTTGCAAAGACTGTAAGAGGCACGCATTTTACATGTAAAACTAATGATGATGCAGGAACAAAATAAAAGGATAATGTTCCCAAGTAATCAAAAGTTTCAGAGCAAGCTGTTTTTTGAGGCTGCTAAACTACCACAACAGAGAGGACTTGATATTCAAGTTCAGAAAAGCCCCAGTTCTAATCCAATCAAGGCTGATAAAGGACTTGTTGTGGACTCAAGTACCACTCAAATTCTATTTAAAATACCCAGTACACCAGCAACAGAGTAGCCAGGAGGATGGTGGGGAGAGATAGGAGACCCTACTGTTACACAATAAAGAAATGGCATCAGAAGAGAAAACAATGGGCAATTATCAGTTTAGGAAGTCTGACATGTCTTGTCCCCAGAGACTACTCAACCCTTGCACTTTAAGAGCAGAGTTAAGTGATCTTTCCATTCTGCTGGTGCCATCCCAATCCTTCTGGCCATATGTGACCCCAGCATGCATCCAACAGGTTGAATACAATTAAATTAGCAGCATTATTGCTTCCAATATCCTCACCGGGTTCTTCATGAGGACTCTCCACATGTATCTCCTCCAGAGCTGTGGCCCCACTGATTTCATCCTGGCTTACATTCCCCCCCCCCCCCCGGCACACGTCCTAGTTTAGAGCAGTAAGTAATTAAAAATAAACATTTCCTTACCCTTGTCTGTGGGCTTTTTTGGAGTGACCTGAGTAGTGGGAGTATCCCGAATATGTCGATTCTGTATCCATTGCAGCAGACATGGGGCCTGCACAGAAGGGGCACAGATTTTACTTAGAAGACAAGTTCCTCGTGCTCCTGAGATGGAGTCCGTGGTAAAAGTGCTTTCCTGGGTACTCTTTGCTTCCCAGTCATCAGTGAGGTTTGGTCCTCAGAGCGAGTGAGCTTCACTTACAAGGAATCGGACCAGAGCGGAAGGGAGGGAGGGTGCTCAGCTCCTCACGATCGACCTAAGGAAAGGGAAACAGGCATGGAAGCGCACACTAAGCAAAGCAAGACATCATTCCTACTGCAGCAATTCCCTCACCCTGGCCACATGTCGCCACTCAGCACACGGTACCCAATTCACAAGCTTCTCCTGGCCGATATCTCCCTCTCCAGTCTGGTGAAATACACGCATTTGTAGAGTTTTAAATAAACTGATAACATACCTCTGCTTTGCAAAGTCTAGCCTACTAATCTAAAAATCCAGAAGAAACGGCATAAATGGCCTGGAAAAGACAGTGACTCGGAGAAGGCTCAGCAGCCTAGATACAAAAATTCACCCCCAGAAAAGGTACTGGGCTTGACTTCCCCAACCCCCATCACTTCACTTGTGTAACATACAGCTCCAATACCCCCAGACTGAGAATATCAGCATTATAGCCTACATAGAGAGGGAAGGGGTGGGGGGTGAGGGTGACTTTCCTAGGAGAAATGCAGGAGAGGATCAGACCACCATGTCTGAACCTGCTTTGTTTTCACAACTGCAAGGTGTGCCCGTTTTACAAGCACTAGTTACTATACAATCAATGGCACTATAAGCACCTCCCTTTCTTTGTAATCTTTGCCTCCAGAAGCTAATTTGGGCCTTGATGAATTGAACTTTATTAAAAATTGTCTCTATATATACACATACTAAGAACACAGGGGAGAGCTGATTAGAGATCACATCTAGCTTATATGGGCCAACACTTCTTACAGCGTACTTCCATTTGGAGCAGAAGCTGAAGTCCCATCCGTAAAGGGCAGAAGAGGGTCATGTTTTTTGGGACAGGAGCAGGGCGACATCAGAACAATTCCCAACAGTGACATGTCAAAAAACCCAAACCCCGTGGGGAAGAAGGGTAGATGCCATCCTGCTTTCCAAACCCACATCCACATCCTGTGTTAGGTGAGAAGGGAAATGGAAAGGAAGGGAGTTAGTCACTGGTTTGGGGAAAGGCATGCAAATGGTAAAGAGGTGCAGATGGAGGGGTTGCAGCTACAGATGGAGGTACCTTGGCACAGCCCAGCGTTTGGCACACAGCACTCTCACATGCCTCCTGCCCAGATGACTGCTGCCTCCAGCCAACACAAGACTACAGCCGTGCTGTACTTTCAGAGCGGGCAAAGACTGCTTTAAAATTAAATTAGATCCCTCCATTATTTTATTCTCACAGCAGTTTTGAAAGCTGTTAGCAATAAAACAGTCAACCATTGCTTTCAGCCCTCTCCCTCCCCAAACACAGAGGGACAGCAACAGAAATCGGGCTTTATACCTGGCCAACTATTCTTTCCAGCAGTAAGATTCCTCCACTAACACCTCCAGAAAATCTTGTAACCGAGCAGAGAGCTCTACCACATGCAAGCCGTGCCAAAGTATGAAGTCTCTTCCCCACAGGGCTCCTTGGCTGACGGTGCAATCTGCAACAAAGTACAGAAGCGTTCCCACTGCATCGGGAGCTGCAGGTATTTGCACAACACTCGGGCTTGCCAAGGCTCTTGGAAAGGAGAAGGCAGGGGGAACCTTTTGTGTACAGGAATTCCCAAGCTTTATGTGCATATCATGCCTCAAGAAAACTCCTTAAAGGCAGCAGAGAATCTAGGAAGGATGAATAAGGATGGGAATGTAAGGCCCAGTTTTCAGAGGGGAGGAATGAGGATGGATTTAAACACAGTGAAATATAAAGCCAAGGCACGGCACAGTTTGGGAAATGGCATCATTCCTGTAACAGGAATAAAAATCCTCCAGCCTGGGACACATGATGTTAACACTCGTTAACTCCCTAGACTTGCACACAGCCTGTAGCTTATGGCTCCAGCAATAGGCTGGGACTTATTAAAGCCGATTTTTACCTCTGTTCTGTTACTGTCCTGCTAGGCAACCACAGAAAAATCCTTCCTCTGTGTCTTTTCTTCTCCAGTAAATGGGGGGTGAGGCCACCACCCCCCTACCTTCAAAAAGTGCTATGATATCAACAAAGGAGATGGCTACACAGGACCTTGCAATCATTAGGCATTACAAATCAGAAACATACTCAGTTGTACAAAAGGTGGTAATGAGTATTATAGGCTTAAACCACTGACTGTGATGTTACTGGCCTCCCTTTGAGAACAACCACTGTCTTCACAAATATATACACCATCACATTACAGGAATTGGAAAAGTAAGGATTGCTGCCAGCACGCATCAGTAAGGGTTATGCATTTTTCTTAGGCTTCTAGGAAAAGTACCAACGTCTAGCCTTTTCCTCTAACCACATAAAAGAACTTTCCCCCAGCTCCCAGATAGAAGAATCGGAGCCGAGACAGGGACTGGAAACAGAGCTCCTCTTCTGACCCCTCTCACCCCCGGCAGCACAGGGTCACACTTCTCAGGAGATGTCAGAGAACATTTCAGCCAGGTAGAGGCTGCTGTGGAAATGCACGGGCTGCCTAGACAGGAATCACAAACCAGCAGTGCCCATTTCAAGGTGGGTGAAGCAAGGCAGTGCTGGGCACCAGGCAGGGAAAGCAGACTCATGGGAAGACCAACACAGGAACGCTGGGGCAGGCTGGATCATGCCAACTTTCTTCTTCTGTGTAAACAAGAGCAACGGTTTTGACACAGCTCTATGAAAAGTCAACAGGGCGGCCCCCCCAAAAACATTAAGTCTCCTGGATTGTTGTCAAAAGCAGTATGATGAACTTGGGGACCCTGAACCACCCCCTTGCCCCAGCTGCAGGACACACCAGTGGCTAAATAGCTCTTCCTGCCAAGGCTGCCTGGAATAAAATCTATCTGCCCACCTTCAGCTGGAAAAAGCAGAAGACCACCGGCTTTGTCTGGTGCACAACCGAGGCTGAGCATCGAGAAGGCTTCCTAGATTTGGCCAGGGCTGCTAGCTGGACTCCACTCCCAGTCTGAGCAGGATCAGATGAAGAAACCAAGGAGGAAGGAGCACAGTCCAAACACACACTCCTCATAGCCAAGCCAAGCAGGTTACCTACCTCCTGCTCTATTTTACAACAGAAGGGGACCAGCCTTACCCCAAAAAAAGGCTTCTGGAACTACTGGGGAAGAGGTAGGGAGGGGACCAAAAGACAACTAACATGTTAAACCACACCTCCAGGTTGGCACAGACAGAAGTCAACGCTGAATTAGCCACCACCCCAGCAGTGCCCACCGTTAGAGCCTGAGCAAAGCTAGAGATGAGAAGCTGTACATGAATCCTTCATAGCACAACCATATCCAAACTAAGCACAGTCTTTTAAGACCTTCACTACTAAATCACTCCTAATAATGATTCTTACCCTACCACCCTGGACAAGGACAACTGTCCTGCAAAAAGAAGCAGCCCCATCCCTTCAGAAACAAGTATGAACCAAGAGGCCAATTTAGCCAACTGAAACGGCTTCACAAATGATCATTACATCTCACAGGACTCCACTGAAGGCATGGTCTGTTTGCAGAGCTTCTGGCCCTGAGTGAAAGAAAACTCCTCCAGCCCAAGGGTACAGTTGCACTGTTTTTCGGCGTTGACAAGAAAGCCGGTGTTAGTAGCTTCCACCTCCACACCATGCTGCACCACTTTTGGTTGTGTCAACACAATTCTCAGCAGGCAAACAGCACTGCTGGAAAACAAAACAAAAAGTCCCTTTTCTCCCCCTTGCCACGCTTTTGTCTTGGATCCTTTCCGTGACCTAGTTCACAGCACAGCCCCAAACAGCAAAACCAACACCAGGGTGAAGAGCAGCGCAAGCGAACAGCTCGGGGGGAGATGGGAATGCCTCCTCCGCTCCAACCACAACAATTGTGTAACTGCACACCCAGCACTTTGCTCCCAGTAGGGCCAGCACTCTCAATTTGCCTTTCCCTTACTCACCAATGACAGAAGGATGCCAAGCACTAGATGGAAAACAATGCTAAGGCTGCCCCAAAGGAAATTTTGGGACCCTATTCTGACAAGAAGGATGGCCGCATCCTGCAAGACGGTGGAGAAATGCAGTTACCCCTGAATACCACAGAGATCACTGTAATTACAGTTTCTACGCAGCTACACAACTCATTGTAACTCCCTCTTTTCATATGCTCATAAATCTCCAAAAAGAGTTCTTTTGAATTGCTATTTTCCACGCTGGGAGCCCAATCCCATTTCCAATGAAGTTCGCTTTGTGATTGTCTTCAAGGGAGCACAGTTTGGCTCCTAGCCCAAGGGAAATTTAAAAGAGCAAGTTACATCTTTAAATCAAAGAGGGCAAATGCAAACAAGAGCACTCTTTTACATCCCCTGCTTTCCCCGATGGATTTTCCCCTGTGAAGTTGAGGCAAATAACTCCAAAGCAGTTCAGCTTTGAAATCCTTGTCTGTACAGTTTCAATCTTACTCTGTTTAAAACTTGCAATCAATTAGAGTTGATTTACCAGTCGGTTCATGAAGTTACATATATTTGGAAGTGCCATCTGGAACACAAGCAGCCATAAGTGTCCGTGAGGATGTGCGCACATTCAGCTCCGCACGCTGTCAGCCTCACTTGTTAAACAGCACCAGCTGTCTATAGGGTAACGGAGGACCACGAGCTATTGCACTGAGAAATCTTTTTTATTCGCTTAGTGAAACGAAGAGCTTTACAAATTAAACAGGCAGAACTACAAGCACTAAGCTATGGGACAGCGTTAGGGTTCAAGAATAATTAAAAGATGTCTAAGCAGTGAGGAAGCCTTACAACTCTGGCATTAACTCGGCTGCACGGTACGGCTGCAGCGTGTTCCTATTATTCACTTCAGAAAAACGAGAAGTTACGTAACTTGCCATGTTCAACTGCATATATAGTAAGACCTATGAGCAATGCCACAGGAACCTTTTGCTTTTGAATTTCCCGAGCAGGCCCCAATCCAGCAATTTGATCTGTAAGCACAGAAGTTCACCCATGCTGATCTACTTGCAAAGCCAAGGCTTTCAGTTTTAACAGCCAACAAGATTTGGGAAGCAAGGTTTTTTTCTAAAAGCTTTCTATTTATTTTTGCTTGTCATCAAATAAGGTTAATTTTGGCCTTATATATATATATATATATATATACACATATATATAACCCAGGGCTTTTACTCTACGACAGTGGCTCTTGATTTGCAGGCCCCTCATCCTAAACAAATGTTTAGCAGTCAGCAAATTCAAGCCCTCTAGCAATAGGTTCTCTTTTCTTCTGCTTCTCAGAGGCTTCTTAGAAAGATTTCATAGACCCCTGGGAATTTCCAGGCCCTAGGCTGAAAGCCATTAGTCCATGACATGGATATTTCAAAAAGAAAAGTCACTTGGGTTTATTGAACCAATCCACCTGGGTTTTTAATCAGAACATGCAACAACACAGGACTGAAAACACAGTGAGGCTGTTTCAACTGACAACAGGAATGCCTGGCTAAAACCACCACCCAAGCAAGCCGTGTTTCTAGGGAGTAAGCCCCAGCCTCTTGCCTCCCTGTTACACAGCTGGAAGTCGGGAAGTTCTCTGCACGGGACCCACTGGTGAAGCAGAAGCACCTCCCTGGAAGATGTCCTTTGCCCACTTCAAGAACCAAATCTGTGCTGTCCAAGTTTCTGGAGCACAACCAGCATTCCAGTCTGTCATGCAAATTATACGTCAGGGGCCAACCCAGCCAGACGGGTGAAAGCCTGTGCTTCCTCGCCTCTGTCTCCTGTGTTCCTAGGCCTTCAGGGGCACCTCTTTACCCTAGAGCCATGCAACACAGCCGAAGGTATTGTGGCCTCACCCTCGTGATACTAGAGCACCTGGGACCGTGCACAGGAACACAGTTTACTGATGTTTAAAGACCTGCAGCTTTACTGAAACAAGCAGGGGAAAGACTCTTACAAGACTCTTCAGACTCTGCCTATCCAAGCAGGCAGTACCTGCACCTTATTTTCAAAGTTTACTTTTAGCCACAGCATTAAAGGCTATAAACTACACAAGGTTTCTCTACTGAAAGTGCAGCATCCTAATTTGCTCTTCCAGCCAGCGCGACTTAATTTCCTAACTCTTCATAGCTGCGAAGATCTCGTGGGCAATACGTTATTGACAAACCCAGGGCCAAAACACCTCGCTGCTTCAAACAGCCATAGAACCGCCAAGTCCGCCTCCCCAGAGCAAAACCCCTGCCACCGAGTCATTTACGCTTTCATAACCCCGCGACTCAAAGCGTTCAGCCCTCGGCGTAGGAGAGCCAGTTTCCAACCCTGACAGGCTTCTAAATAAGAAACCAATGTTGCTTCCCAGCGGCTCTCCAAAAGCGTGCCGTTACCGAGACGGAACGGCTAACGCAACAGCTTTGCTCTCTGTTGGGCACGCTCAGAAGCGTTCCGGTATGCACCCCAGGCCACCTCTGCCAAGGCAGAAGGAGATTCTCCCCTCGGCGGCTGTCGTTGGAGCGGATTTATCTCCGGCCACGCGAGCTGGAGCTTCCCCACGCTGTAACTTGCGGAACGGAAACAACCGCTCAGTCCTGCGAGCCCACGACTTGGGGCATCACCCGGGGTGACCAGGCCAGCCTCTAAGCAGAGAGGTGTGACTGTGCCCTCCCTCCCCCCGGTTGCGACCCCCGTGCTGTCCAGCGGGACGAGTCCAGGCATAAAGCGCCTCGTTTCACACGGCCTGGGCAGCCGAGGCGTCCGCAGAGCTTTCGCACCGGCGGGAATTCACTCCTGCCGGCGCACTAACAGCGGCACGGGTTCCTTCAAAGGCGAGGCTTGGCAGAAAAAACCGCTGCCCACCGTGAGGGGCTACCACCTACGGCCCTCGCCGGCGTTGGAGGGTCTCACCCCGGGGAAGCCGAGCTCTCTCCGGCCCGCGGCACGGGAGCCGGGACCCGCGGCCGCGGCAGCCTCACGGCGGGCGAGGGCAGCGCCCAGGCTGCCGGGCAGAGCCCCGGCCAGGGGCAGGGAGGCCCGGCGGCCGCCCCCGCCCGCCTCCCCGCTCCGCCCAGCCACGGGAACCGGCGCCCAGCCGCCCCGCAAAGCGTCGGGCGAAGCGGGGTGTTCCCCCGCACCCCCAAATTCCTGCAGCCAGCATCACCGGAGCCCGGCCGGGCTCTCAGCCAGCCCCCCCCCCCCGCACCCCGGCCGGGGACGGACCCCCGGCGCCTGCTCCCGCCGCCCCGGCCCGGGCACCCCGGGGGGGGGGTCCCCGGGGCGGGAGGGCGTCGCCGCCCCCCCCCCCCCCCCCCCCATCCCCATCCCGCACACACAAGACAGACAAGCGGGCGGGCAGGACAGACGGATGGGCTCACCTCCCTCCCGCGGCCGCCCCATGCCGCTCCCGGCACCGACCCGCCGCTTTCCCCCACGGCGGCGGCCGCCGTCGCTGCTGCCGCCGCCGCCGCTTTCCGCTTCCTGTGCCCGGCACCGCCCCGCACCCCGGCCCTCCCCCGCCGCAGCCACCGCCCCCGGGCGCGGCATCCCTCCCCGCTACCCCCCCCCCCGCCCCGGGACCCCCCCCCCGGGACCCCCCCCCGGCCCTGCCGGCAGCTCCTTGCGGCCGTAGCCGGTGGGGAGCCGGGGCTGGAGCCGCCGCTCGCCCCCCCCCCCCCCCTCCGAGGCCTGGCCTCACCCTTCGGCACCTCTCCCTGCAGCTCTGCCTCTCAAGCGCTCGTACGCTCCCTCCCTCTCATCCCCCTGCCGCCGCAACTCTCCAGAGCCCCCCCCGGTGCCCACCTCCCGAACCCCCCCACCCCTCCGGCTCTACCGCTCTCCCCCGCCCGGCCTTGCTCCTCGCCCGCCCTTACGCTGCCACACTCCAGCAGGAAGACCAGTCCCTTGGAGCTCTCCCATCCTGGACGACCGCGTCCTTAGTTTTTCTCCAAGGCTAGGTGTCCTGCTAGGCACTGTAACGCCTAGCCTTCCGGACCGCTTGCTCTGCTCCTCCACCCATAGCCTGCAGCTGCGGCACGCTTTGCCCCTGGTCACAAGAGGTCTACAGTGAGGAAGGACCTCCTGCCCCCCCAGGAGAAGGGCCCGGGTTGCCTGAAGCCACTCACAAGCTGCCCAAAGCCTGCCTTGGGCACCAAATTCCTAACGTGGCTTAGCTCCGGGTAGCTGGGAAGGAAACTGGCAGAGTTCTGCGTGCCATGCAAGTCACCATTTCTGGAGTCAAATGTTGCTCCTTTTTCATTGCACTTTTGGGCTGTCTTACTCTTTAAAAAATAGATAAATTTTCAGGCCGTACAATGAACCAGCAGGTAGAAATGCATGAAGGAAATCTAGATCCCAGTCCCGTGCTTTGAACTACTCAGGAACAAACCAGTCAACAGAGGAACAAATGCAGAAGATACTGAAATTATTCTTATCAGATAGCTTCTGTGTTGCATTACTGTGTCTGCTGTAGACTGCATCTTTTATTTTTCCCCTCACTCCCTTTTTCCAAAATAGTGGCAATTTGTGGTGCGTGTCCCCTACTCAACATCTCTACAACATGGAATGACTTTACAATGGAACAGTCAACTGGGAATTGGAAGAAACATTTCCACACCACTCTTATTTGGTAGTTACATTACCTCCTGTTTTGCATGGTGCACACGCTTACCCGAGCCTGTGACTGCCTGAAAGAGGCCGATATCAAGTGATAGGCTCCATCTTGTATTATGCATCAACACGTTGTCTAAACTTGCCCAAGGCCCGAGTACTCCGCTGCATTCCAGGCAATGGCCCTGCCCTGAAAAGCGTCTGACACCCTGCCCAAAGCCTGCCTCTCGGCCTCCCCGGCTGCTAACGGCTCCCCACCGCTCGACTGTTGCAGGGGGGCTTGCTTCCTCCCCCCCCGCCGAGGTAGGGGAAACGTGAAGAAAGGCAACAGGTCACAGTTTCTACAGGCCATGCACCTGGCGCAGGGGAGAGACTCAGTGCGAGGAGAAAGCTTTTACCTCTTCTGCGTGGGGATGATGACAAGGGGAGATGCTGCCCTGCCTGAAAGGCTACGGAGACATGGGGAAAAACTTCAACAGGGGGGACTTTTTCAAAGGTCTTTAACTGGACTTCTTTGAAAGCAACCAAGAAACTCTGCCAAGTCTGTATTTCTTCTCCTACTATGCTGCCCCAGCAGCTGCTCAAGAAGGTTTAGAGGATTTCTTAATACTAGTTTAATCATCTGGAACAGCAGGACTTGTTGCAATACTCTCATGGAAAGACTGCTAAGAGATCTAAGCTGAGGATGCATGCAAGCCTCAGGGAGGACCAGCACTTACGCCCTGTCCAAACCTAGCTGGAGCAGACGCCTGTTAGAGCCAGCAGTGAGGCCCGCTGGCACCCAGCTAGGTCAAGCTGTTTCACAGAATATTGGCAAAGGAGGAATACACTGAAGATGGGCTCAGAGGCAGATGCTGGGGTGCTGTGTATGCTTACCTCTCATCATCTGTTTAAACCACTCAGACACAAGGAAGTGTTTCATGTGAGTCAGGCAGTCTGGTAAGGCCGTAGTTAAGAAATTTGTAAAGTGCAGTGCTCCTGTACACTACAGAATAGGTGAGATTAGAGTCGGTTGGGTGGCTTTTTTTTTTTTGTTGTTGTTTTTTTTTGCTTTGTTTTTTTAAGTAACCAGAACAGAGCTCATAGATTCACAGGAGAATCATTTAAGTTGGAATGGACTGTTGGCCATCCAGTCTCCCCACTCAGAACAGTGTCAACTAGAGCAGGTTGCTCAGGGCTGTGCCAAGTCAGGTTTTGAGCATCTCCAAAGACAGAGTCCATAACCTCCCTGGCCAACCTGTTCCAGTGTTTAACACCTGCATAGTATTTCAGTTTGTAGCTAGCTGTTCCCTCTTTTCCTTTCATCGGATGCCACCAAGAAGAGTCTGACTCAATTTTTTTTTACTCCCTTCCATCAGGTATTTCTACGTGTTGATTCACATTTGCACACATCGATTCCACTCTGAAACCTACTCTTCTCAAGACTAAAAACCCCCAGCTCTCCCAGCCTTTCCTGGTATGTCTGACGCTCCAATCCCTGAATCGTTTTAGCGGACCTATGCTGGACTCACTCCAGTATGTCCATGTCAAACAGAGATGGTCTCTGGTCCAGACAGTGCTCTGTCTGCATGTAATGCAAGATACCCTCGTTGTTCAGTTCCCTTCTGTTTTGATCTTCTTCCATTCCTGCTGGCATAGTGGCCAGGGGATGTTTTAGAGACGTTCTGGAAGTGGTAAAGCACATGGACTGGCACTGCTTTATGGCATGCTCTTAGATGCACACACAGACAGACAGATGAAGAGGTAGGACACTCATATGAAGCCAGGCCCAAACTTGGCCTGTTTCATGATGCGGCACACAGAAAAGGAATATGATCTCAGATTCGTCATCTCTTTCTGCAGTGGCCTGGTATGAAATAATAAATACCTTTGATTTGCTCCTAGCTTGTGTCTCTTCTCCTATTTAGAAAAAAAATAAAATCCTTATGATGTGAATGCCAATGCTACAGGCTCAAGTTCACTGGAAGTAGCAGAGGAAGGCTAGAAGGTGCAGTGATTTATTTTCTGCTCAAGGCAGCAAAAACCGAGATGTTTTTAGATCTTACAAGAAGCAGCTTCTGGCTTCCCTTAACACTCCTTTGTTTTGTTTTTCCAATAGAAACATGACTGGCATTCTCAATTCATGTAGTTCCTTGAGGGGACTGTTTCTATCCATAGCTTTGAAGAAATACTCAAGAAAATCCTAGGAAGCACAAGCAGGAACATTCTTCTTCTGGATGAAACATGAGAATCCAGACAATTTTTGCCCTCATTGCATTTTCAGAAGGTTCTAGGTGCCTTTAGTATGAAGCTAGTATTTAGAAATTCTCTAAATCTTCTTGAGTGGATACTGGTGCAGCATAGTAGAAGAAATTCAGACTTAGCAGAGTTTCTTGGTTGCTTTCAAAGAAGTCCAGTTAAAGACCTATGAAACAGATGGGTGGATGGTAGAGTCCAGCACAGAAAACACACACCAACTCAATCATGCAGGGAATTCAAAATGATACAGAGATCTGCTTGTTTAGAAGAAATACAATTCTCTAATTCTACTAATCCTGCTACTGCATTCCTCAGGCTTGTATTTTTCACTCTGAAAAGCATGAGTTGGACAGAAGACCAGGGAGAGATGGATTTTCAGTCACAGCTGTGGAACACAAGTGATCTTAGATGTAGCAGAAGAGGCATTTCCTGGATTGTGGACATTATCCCTTCTTATAACAAATCCCTTAGTGTTTTAAATCACTGTTTTACATTTTGATTTGCTGATCACTATGCATGACCGACCTGCTATCCAGTCAAATTAGCTAAATAAAGGTCCATGCTGCCTCTTCTAGCATCATCTATTCCAAAGTGATGGGTCTTCATGGCATGTAGTCTTCTACTTGGCATGTAGGTTACACTTTCAAGTAATCTCTTTGCTCAAAGGTTTGCTTTCTTTTTTTTTCCTCCAGCACCATTAAATTCACTTATTTTAAAATAAATCCATCTACTTAACCTTTTATTTTTCTACTGATCATTTTTGTGGGCCAGATTCTGCCTTATTTGGAGACATACGTACAGTATTTTTGATAATATACTGACATTGAATTTGCTGTAGATTTTCTTCATCACCTTGGAAACCAGTCTTCCTCGTTCTTTCCCCAAAATCCAGACTCCTCCTTCCCCATCACACAATAACATACCCAGATATTTTTTGTCTGTGACAAAATTCAGTGACAAAATCACATATCTACACATGTCCACAAAACCCGATTGGTTTCTCCATCTTTTTACTGTTTCCTGAGTAGAATGAAAAGATAATTTTTAAGTTACAGGCCAAAGATGGAATTTGTCTGCACAATGCTTTGAGAATTGGAGGCAGTGCCTTGTCAAGTAAGAAACATAAGCGTGAGCTGAGCCCAGCACAAGTGTAAATGTCATTCTGAATTACTGCCCACTTCTACACGGCATCAGCTGGAGCCTCCAGCACAGGGGGAAGAGGAAAGTTCTTCACTGAGACTGGATGCCACTTCATAGTTTCTATCTGATGAAACTGTTTGTATTGCTTATCTGAACCGTGCATGATCTTGCACTGTGCCACTGACCTCAATCTAGCAGTGTGCATCTAGAGTTTAAGTAAACGTGCAATGAGAGATATGCACAAGGAGCCACATTTCAGCTCTTACGCTGCAGAAAATCTTGTTTAGAGGAAGAGAGAGGCGAGAGGGACACAACTACAAAAGAACACCTTCCTTCCCTTTTGGTGTGGTTGTTATTTAGAAAGGGAAAATGCGTACTGCTGCACAGCTGAAGAAACAGCATGACACATTTATTTTGCATAACAACTTGCATAAAAGCTACCGAGCCCTTTATATAATTCATTATCCAAAATACATGATTTCTGCCCA